CTCCCTCTCCCTTCCTCTCTCTCTCAAATCAATAAAGAAAAAAAAATTAAGAAAAGGAAGAAAAGTCTAGCTATTGATGAGCTATGTCAGCCTGTCCTGAAGGGTACATTATTTCCCAGGAGGTTTGTTGGGACCCATAGAAAGGACTTTGTGGTTCCAGCCTCTTTAGGTTCTGGGGCCCAATCCCACTGGGTTGGGGGGCTGGGGTGTCCCCTTACAACAAGCCATTTCCCAACACCAGCTGGGTAGCTTACAATTCAACTCAGTGCTGACATGATCTGCCCAGAGGTAATGTAAGATATGACAGGCTGAGGGCTCAGTCCTACGAGACTGCCCTGTCCCCCGCCACCCTGATTTCAGCCACAGTCCTAAGCCCAGGCTTCTGACAGATTGGCTACATATCAGAGGTTCCAGTTGACCCCTCCCACTCAAGGTGCCCACTGCTAGTCCAGTTGGTCACCTGTACTGCCGGCCGACCTGCTATGACTCACATGTTCCCATGACTCTCTTCTTGGGGTTCAATTAATTTGCTCGAGCAACTCAGAACTCAGAGAGACATGCTACATCCGGGTTATCGGCTCATTATGAAAGGACACAGCTCAGGAGCAGCCAGACGGAAGACGTGCCAGGGCAGGGTCTGTGCCCCTCCCACTTTCCGTCTCCTTGACAACAGAACCTGAAAGAAGTCCGAGTCTCCACCCTCCTCCCCACTCTCTCTAAACTCCGTTCCAGACCCGCTGTTGCCCACCCACTCCGCGGCAACTGCTCTCGTCGACCTCCTGAAGGACCCTCAAGTCGCCCAACCCCACGACTCCTCCTTAGTGCTCGTCTTGCCTGGCATGTCGGCTGCATTTGATGGGGTGAAAGTCTCCTCCTTCATGGGAGGCCCTCTTGGCTTTGGCCCACCTGTCTCTCTCTCAGTTTTCCTTCTGTCTGGTTGACCGCTTCTGCTTGCTCTGCATCGCCTCACCTCTGAACGTTAGAAAACCCAGGGCCCAGCACCCAGACCTGTTCCCTGTCCCTCTCACTCACTCAGTGGTCTGTATGAATTCCCAGAACCCGGCTCCAGCTCAGACTTCTCTCTAGAGTCCAGACGAGACTCACATACCCCGCCCTGAAGGCATTGCTGTGGGAATTACAACAAGCTGCCCCTTTCCCCAAGCACTTGACTGCCATCTCCTGGAAACATTTCAGAGTAAACGTACACTGATAGATGACGGAGTGAGACCCGTGTCTCCTACAGCCGTGCGTCCTACAGCCATGTCTCCTACAGCTGTGCCTCCTAACAGCCGTGCCTCCTACAGCCGTGCGTCCTACAGCCATGTCTCCTACAGCTGTGCCTCCTAACAGCCGTGCGTCCTACAGCCGTGTGTCATACAGCCGTGTGTCATATAGCCATGCCTCCTACAGCCGTGTGTCCTACAGCTGTGCCTCCTACAGCCGTGCGTCCTACAGCCGTGTCTCCTACAGCCATGCGTCCTACAGCCGTGTGTCATACAGCCATGCCTCCTACAGCCGTGCGTCCTACAGCTGTGCCTCCTACAGCTGCATCTCCTACAGCCGTGTCTCCTACAGCCGCGTGTCCTACAGCCGCGTAACGCTAGCCATTGACACGGCCGTTTGTCTGCGAGGTGGCATGAAAGGGCAGCACAGGTTCCCCACTGGACCCTCCATCCCCAGTCCCATCCTTCCAACCTCTTCCTCTTAGTCTTCTCTGTTCCAAAGTTCCTCCTGTGCTGAGGTCCAACCTCTCGAAGTTACCCCTGACTCTTCTCCTTCTCCCATACTCCCCCTTTATCCATCAGCGAATCCTGTTGGCTTTTCTTCAAAATACATGAGAATCTAACACGACTCACCGCTCACGGCTGCTGCCCTGGTCCAAGCCCATCCTCTCACCCCGACTCTCCCAAGAACCAGCCCCCCCCCATCCCGTCCTCTTCATTCCCTGTTCTCAGTGCAGCAGCCACAGTTACCCGCTGAAAACCTGGGCCACATTGTTCTCTCTACCCCAAACCCTCCGAGGGGTCTGCTCGGGACTCCCCCCAGACCTCCTCCTGGGCCCGCTCTGTGCCCCTGGCACGGTGGTTCCCTGCCGGGCTCTCCCATAAAGCGTGGCTTGCTCCCTCCTCTCTGGAGTCTTGGCTCACGTGTCATGTTACTGTATCAGAGGAGCCTTCCTCCACCAAAGCATGTAACAAAGTAACCCCTCTCCCCAGCATGTAACCCCATCCTCTCGTCCTGTTCAGTCTTCTCCATTGCACTTGTCCGTATTGTTTATGGTTTCTCATCACTAGAATTCAAGCTCACGAGGCTAGACACTTATTTTTCACTTCTGCTGCACCTCCAGCTTCTAAAACAGTGCCTGCCCGGCAGGTAGGAACTCGAGACATAGTGGCTGAAACATGCAGGCACCCCTAAACCTCTCCGCGGGGTCCTAGCCTTACAAAGACACAAAGGTTTGAGATGGTCCCGCACAGTCGTAACCACTCAATGCCAAGATAAAAGGATTTTCAGGAGTCCGGGAGTGAGTTTAAATCTAACTGGAAAATTGCATTGACTTTACAACCTTCTAGAAGGGCAAGCGTTTCGGACAGAAAGCAAGTAGGTGCCATCTAGTGGCAATAAGGGGAGACCGCATTTGTGTTTCTTGGATTATGGATGAAAACGTAGTTCCTGATTCAGAAGCTTATTAATTCTGTGAAAGTAATGCTCATGATCGTCATAAGTCCTCAAGTGTGCATTTTCCACAGGATATATTGATCTAAAAAGGGCAGTTCCATTTCTTCTAAATTACTTATGACTCATTTTTACTTATTAATTTTTGTTTTCTGGGATTTGACATCTTCTATTCCTCTTTATTTTTTCTATTATTTTATCCTCTATTTAAACTCGTACATTCACATGGTACTGGCCTAGCCATTAAGTGGGTAAATCCAGGCTCTATCTTCTGATAATTTATATTCTTATAAAAACAGCACCTATGAGGGTCGATGGGCGAAAAGCTTGCCAAGTGCTTCTAAGGCCAGACCTTCCGAAGCCCACTGAAGGCCTTCGTGTGGAGTCTGTCTCCACCACCGGGCAGTGGGCCTTTGGTCTTCGTGCCATTTTCCAGGAAATGCACATATAATTACATGGAGAGGTGAAGGTAGAGACATTCATGCTCATGTATGTTGACAGGAGAGAAATGAATTAATGAAATCAATTACAGTCTGTCACTGTCAGTCAAACCTTCAAACAGTTGGGTTATCACAGGACCTGGTAAGTCAAAGCGGAAACTCATTGGTCCACTTCTGGAGCCTGTGACCTTTCCAGTCCGGAGCAGCTGGGGTGGGGCTGCCACCCGGAGGCCAGAGCAGGGATCAGGACTTGCAGGGAAGATCATGGTGAGGGAGGCCCGGGAACATGGGCCCTGTGTGCTCACGCAGAGGTTACTCTGGCCTTTTCACCCGGTAGAAGACTTTGAGTAGCTCCAGGAGGCAAAAGTTGGACCCATGGTATATGATAAGAAAACAGATTTCATGCCAATGTTAAAAACATTTTCCGAAGAGTTTTTTGTCCACAGGGCTCACAGTCTCAGTTCCTCATCTGGGTGGGTTCAGGCAGAGGCCGGATGACAACCTGCCAGGGATTTGTCGAAGTCATTAAGATTCTCTGACTCCTTGCTTCCTGTCTGCACACTGAAACCCTGCTCACTCTTCAGCACTCAGTTCATAGCCCCTTTGTTTGGTTTTATTTTTGAGCACTGCAAGAATCGTTAGCTGCTAAGCTGATGCTCAGCTACTTGAAGACAGGGGACCACATCTCATAGTTCTGTGCCTATTGACCTTGCCACAGTGGGTGCAGGTTACATATTTACGGTGGGGAATGGCAGAAAGACCACCAATGATGGTCTCAACTGGCGTCTGGACCCAAGGCAGCCTTAGGAGAGCAATTGTTCAGCTAGTTACTAGAGAAACTAACATATTTGTTAAGACTTGTTCCCTTGTGTAAATTATTATAAATTTTTTAGGTCCAATAGTATCAGCTTCTTTTTTAAGTTGTGTTATTTATCACGTACGTACCTGACATCTCAGAAAGCAGGTATAGAAATGGGTAGTCCAGAGTGGCTAGGATGCTGCTGAAACTTAAAAAACACACTTTCTGCTTATTGGATAATTCTGTTAGAGGTTTTTTTTTTTTTTTCCTTTTTTCTTTTTTGCCCTCCTGCCTATAGACACAATTTTGTTTTTAGATTGCAGGCAAATATTTTCTTTGATATAATACTTTTTTTCTTGAGAAAAATATCTTATAAATTACGGAAGTTGGGGTGGTATTTTGAATAGTATGTTGTAAAGCTACATTATTCCACATATTTGTCTTTTTAAAGAGTTAAGGGGAGTTTGTTTTAAAATCTCCTTGCTTCCTGAAGCTGTATTGACAGAACTTAGCATTCCATCATAATACGGTTGCTAATATATATACAGGGAGGGGGAGGGGAGAAATTGTAACAGCATGTTTTGCTTGGAAATAGTTTTTACAACTTTGCAACCAGGGATGACTTTGTTACTTTATAAAATAGCTTCCCAGTAAAAAACCAATTAGCCCAAACAAACAAACAAGAATGTTTTTACTGCTACAATTGTTACAATTTTAAAAAAGGAAAAAAATAAAAATACAAAGGTGGTGCTAGTGGAAAAGCACATGCTAGCGGGTTCGTTGACAGGCTTTGTGTATGCCCTTCCTCTAATTTCTCCGACAATCAGATGCTGTTGTTGGCTTTGTCGCTTTGAGGACCCAGATTTCCTTTAAATGATCTAATAGGCTGGAAGGTTCCAGGTCTGCTTGTGGTCGTGTGTACCTTTCCCACAGTGCCACCTGCTCCTTTGCACGGCTGTGCTCCTCACCTCGATGGCTTGAGAGTCAGTACTGGATTCTGGGACTTGTAATTAAAGAGGCTTTGGTTCCCTATAATGATTGCAAGAGGGAATGACTTTCGATTGTATTAATTTATCTTTTTGTAGAATATGCGGAATTTCTACATTGCAAAGGGAGAAAATTCACAGATTTCGATGAAGTGCGCCATGAAATCGAAGCAGAAACAGACCGGGTGACGGGAATGAATAAGGGCATTTCCCCCATACCCATCAACTTACGAGTCTACTCCCCACATGGTAAGTCCAGGCACAAAACTCCCAATTCTTGTCTTCAAAAATTTTTACGACACATTTTCAACAACCATGAAGATAAGTTAAAAAATATTTTTTTTTTACTACATTCATTAACATGCATTATTTGTATGCTATTTGATGGCTTGTTCTCTCGGGAAGTGCCGGGTGTCTAGGATAGGGTTTGGATACAGCCATCAGTGCTATGGTCCAGAGAGCTCCTAGATTTACTTATGGGAAGTCAGGAAGAGATGACTTTGAAAAAGATCAAAATTGAGTAAGTCATTTCTTGGTGTTTAGTTTAAACTTCTGGAATTCCAAAGAGGTTTGCGTGAAAACTGCCGTTTCCGGGTATTTCCAGCCTCTGCAGAGTCTCAGTGGCGCCTGGCACTGTGGTCTGCCCAGCAGACGCTCTTGCAGCCGACGTACCCTCTTTATGCTCCTTCCGAGCCATCAACTGTACTTTACAGCTTAGATAACCAGCAATTGACAACTTACGAACTGATTCGTGGTGTGGGATGTGGAATAGCCCGGATTCTGACCGGGTTTTTAGCAGAGTCGATTTGAATCTGTCATCTTCTCTCCAGCTCAGTTGCTTTTCACACGGAGCCCGAAAGAAATAAGCCCGATTCCCAGGTCCCGAGAAGACTTGGTGCTGACACTCTTTCGTGCAGAGAATGACAGGCAGGTCAGGCCGGGGTCCCTGAGGCGGGGTTTCCTGCTCTCCGGGTGCTGCTCCGGGAGCCGGCTGTGTACCCCCCAGGAACCTCAAGGCACCGGGAATGCCTACCTGCGTTCCAGTGGACCAAGCGCCTAGCCCTCTGTAAACCACCCATGATGCTTTGAAGGGAAGGACAGATCTTACCCTGAGAACATGACACATTTGAAGGCAGTGCGTGGCACGAGACGGGCAGACAGTGTCTGGACGTGCTGGTCAGTTTGTACTTATAGCCACTTAGTTCCCTGAGAAAACCGTCCATTAGACACGCACGTCAGTGCTGTTCAAACTATGTTAGAAGTGGCCGTGTGGCATGGCACAGTCATAGCATAAAAACAGCAAAAACCTGCAAAGCTGTTTTATATTCTTTGCTTTTTATTCTACACACCTGAGTTGGGGTTATTCAGATGCACCATCTGTGAGGCCGAGCTTTTTAAAAATGTCCATGAAAGTGACAGGTGAATCTGCATTGTTGATATCGCTTCGCACTGAGGGTACACGTAAGACTCTCTCTTCTTTCCACGCAGTGTTAAATCTCACCCTGATTGACCTGCCGGGGATTACGAAGGTGCCCGTGGGGGACCAGCCGGCGGACATTGAGCATCAGATCAGGGAAATGATCATGCAGTTCATCTCGCGGGAGAACTGTCTGATTCTGGCTGTCACTCCAGCCAACACCGACCTTGCCAACTCAGATGCCCTGAAGCTGGCGAAAGACGTCGACCCTCAAGGTGAGTGGGTGACCCGCAGGATGGAAGGGAATTCGCTGAAAATGTAAGGTAACACCACTTCTCATGACTTGAGTTCTTTATTCATTATATTTGCAATGATTGATATCATGAGAGCTTTTGTATTTGAGACACCGAACGAAAAATAACTAGGGATGAAAGACGAAATCTATGCAAATACATGTCAGATGAACTGAGATCTAAGAAAATAGACATTTCTAATCTTCATGAACTACTATTCTGAAAAGTCAATGAAGTACACTTCTGGGACAGAATTCAGACAGTCCTCTTAGTTATTATAAGAATTACCTGAATATTCTCCCAATAGGAAAAAAATCTGTTTATTTCTCTAAAACAGGAAGCTCTTTTAATGCATGTAAGACATTCAGCTCATAATTACTTGACATAAATATATGTTATAAAAGCAGGAATTTATCTGTTTGGCATTTCAGAATCCAGAAACGTCTCCTATTTATGGTGATGATCTGATATTTTTTTCTTTCTGTGAGCTGAGTAAGGACAGTTTCTCAACAGAGACTCCGTGATATGTCTGTTTAAAGTAATCACAGAGGCTCATTAGAGACATGTCTGGTCAACACAGAGGTGCATGGTCTCCAATTCATTTTTTTAAATCTTCACCTGAGGATATTTTTCCATTTATTTTCAGATAGAGTGGGAGAGGGAGAGAGAGAGAAACACCGATGTGAGAGAGACACACTGACTGGTTGCCTCCCACACAACCTTGACCAGGGCTGGGGATGACCTGCAACCGAGGTACATGCCCTTGGCCGGAATCGAACCCACAACTCCTTGGTTCGCAGGCTGATGCTCTAACCACTGAGCCAAACCAGCCAGGGCCGATTCTTCTTTTTGACCATTAATTGTCCCCATTTTCTCTCCTCTCCTCAGCTGGGATTCTTAGCATTAGCATGTCAGAACTTCTGGGTCCATCCTCATTTCTGGTTTTGTTTTTGTTTTTGCAGGAGTCTGTCAGCTTTATCTGCAACCCCTCTAACACATGTTCCACTTTCGATTTCACGTAATAAGCTGCAGCAGCCTTTTCCTGTTGAGTGAATGTTATTTTTATTTTTTTTCAATCCAATGAGCTCTTGGTTGCTCGTGCAGCGAGATTTTAATGAGAGCTTTTGGAGGTTCCTTTGTCCGCGGCGGCGTCTGTGAGCCCATATCCTCTGGTGGGTCGGTGGTTCCAGTCGTTGTCTTTGACCTCAGAGACCCTTCTCCAGGGATGGGCGATCTTTACGACTGGTCCCGGGCACGAGCGGAGCCCCGCAAAGCTGGGGGAAGCTCTGTGGGCACAGTGGGAGTCAGTGACCTTGGAGCAGGGCCAGCTGGTAGATGTCACTGTTTGTGGGCTCTGGGTTTTCAGGGCCACCGCCAAGCGGAGGAGAGGGGAACGGGGACAGGGAAGGTTCAGACATCACACGTCTCACTGTCCCGACTGGGATCCAGCCATTTCCGTTGAGTAAATACCTTCCAGTTTGTTGCGAGCCTTCGATTAACTTCTGGAGTTCTGAAAAAGTTCGTTTTGACCATTTTTGCCAGTGTTCTTCCTGCTTGGGTGGAGGAATGGCTGCTCAGAGGCTCTTACTCCACCATCTCTCCTTCCATTTCATCATTCCTCATTCGGATCCTAATCATCGGGGCATTTTCATCTAAACGACATTTGAACTGGGATAGTGAGGGGAGTCTGGTCGTGATATCTGTCCCACTGATGGTCTTCACGAGGAACTTGCTGGCTCTGCAGGGGGCCTGTTCTCAGCACCGTGTGTCCATCTTTCCTGGAGTTTTGCCCTTGCCCAGCGAGGATGCCCTGTTTAGATAGCAGGGGATGGGTTTTTATTCCAGGTACCTGAATTACAACCTGATCCACCAAGGTACACAATTACAGTTTTCTGGGAGGCATTTTACTTAGGCAGTAGCTATTCTGTACAAAATTAAGACCACCTAATAGGACTTGCGTGTATTTAAATTTTTAAAAAATCCTTACCCGAGGATATTTTCATTGCTCTTTAGATAGAGTGGAAGGAAGAAAGGAAGAGAGAGAGAAACATTGATGTGAGAGACACATTGATGGGCTGCCTCCTGCATGACCCCCACCAGGGCCAGGGATCAAATCTGCGACCCAGGTATGTGCCCTGGACCGGGAATCAAACCTGTGACCCTTCAGTCCTTGGGCTCATGCTCTAACTGCTAAGCCAAACTGGCCAGGGCTACGTGTGTGTGTTTAAATACAGGGTGGGGCCAAAGTAGGTTTACATATGTGAGTCCATGAAACCCAGAGTTGACTCTCGTATTATTAATGATCAATTACTGTAATAATTTCCTTCCGAATCACTGTAAATCTACTTTTGCCCCATTCTGTATATTCTTGGGAAGGACATTTATGTTGCTAAATTAGTATCAAATTATTTGCATAATGGTATTCAAAATGAAAGGTTTTACAAAATAAATATTATTGTCATGCTGGAAAATATTCATGTATGTTATATATTAAAATAAGTTTCACGGTGAATTATTCTCCCGGTATATGTCGACTGTCACACATTTGTGGCTAGACAAAGCTCAACATTACCTGTTGCATCATTTGTGAAAAAAATGTTTTTACCGACCAAACAAGAATTTTTAGTACAATTTCAAGGGGAATGGCCATTCGGTTTAAAAGGTCAGCCCTGGCTGGTGTGGGTCAGTGGTTAGAGCGTCGGACCGCACATTGAAGGGTCTCAGGTTCAAATCCCGGTCAAGGGCATGTATCTGGGTTGCAGGTTCGATCCCCAGCCCTGGTGGGAGGCAACCCATCAATGCGTCTCTCTCTCTCTCCCTCCCTCCCTCCCTCTCCCTCCTTCTCTTCCTCTTTCCTCCCTTTCACTCTCTCTAAACAAGTCAATGGAAAAAATTATCCTTGGGTGAAGATTAACCACAACAAAGAAGTCAAACTCCTGGTCATCAGGATTCTATGAAGTTTTACATATATTTCCCTGTAGAGCAGTCCTGACTTTTCACAGGGCTCGGACAGGTTTTGGTTTTAAGTTTCAGCAGAATGATGTGAGGTTGGTTGGACTTAGGTCCTGTTTTGGGGAGAAGTTGATTGGGGTGATGCCTCTGACCTCCCAGTGAACTTGTTGCCCCCTCCCTCACGCAATGCTTGTCCGTCAGACTCCTCAGTGAGTTGCTGTATTAAACCGGGTGACAGGCCAGAGTTTGGAAGTGACCTTCCGCTTCCGGGTTGCATACCTTGCGGCAAGTTATTTAACTTCTTTGACCCTTATTACTTCATCTCTGAAAGGACATGAAATGGTAGTAACCCTCATCTCAAAAGGTTGCTATGACAATTAAATACAAGAAGTGTATCTGTGAAGATACTTCCGACTCCAGGTGGCTTCCAAGTGCCAGTCATGATTCCCTCTTGGGAAGATTCACAGGACCTACTCTGCTGTTGCATTCACTGCTCACAGTTTAGCGCGATAAAATACACCTGTGCACGCAGGCAGTAGCTTTCCGCAACCCAACTGCTGCTTACCCTCACACGAGGTAATGAGGCTCGGGAACTCTTAGCATTGTAATAGAAATGTTGTGGATATTCTAATAAAGGATCATGAAGGTAAAAATGATTTCAGACTCACCTGCGAATTGCTTAATTGTGGTTGAACGCAGACCTCGTGGGGCCGGGCTGGATGGTGGCAGGAGGGCTGTCCTTGGCTTGGCACTTGAAGGTGTCGTCCAGCTGCTGCTCAAGGGCTCAGAGGGCCCGACGAGGTCCCTTAGCACAGCCCCATGGAGACCGCACTGGTCCCTCTCGGGAACACTCCGTCCGCTAGTTGGAACGTCCACTCGGGTACAGGAAGGATTCAGTCCCTGCCTGTGTTCGCTCGTTCATTAATTTCTCATTCAGCAGACATTTAGGAGGCCCTCTCGAGCCAAGCAAAGTGTTCGTGGTCAGGAGCCTAAACTCGAATGCTGGGCTCCTTAGGATACTAGACTAGGTTGATGCTCAGTACAAGCTTCTGATTACTTTTGTGACTCCACCGCTCTTACAAGGACGCTGTCTGTTTGCATCACCTCTTCTCTTATGCGATGAGGTCACAGGGGACCGCAGAGCACCATGAGGTCGTAGGGGCAACAAGACAGAGGGCCTGCTTGATGAAATGAACATTCTGATGTCTCTGGGGATGCGATTTGGCTCACAGCGGGAGTTAATTCAGGTGAAATGGGTTGTGTGAGACACTGTCAGCTGTTATAACCACAGGTGTCCTGTAGGTAGATGGCACTGCTCAGTCTTACAAAGGGAACTGAGAGAGGTTCTGGAACTTGCTTTGGCCAAAAGGATGGTAAGGAGCAGAAGCGTGATATGAGCCCACACACCTGTGCTACCAATAGGCCCCGTTTGCTATTGATCACATCATCCAGATTTCTCATACTAACTGTGTTTCAAACCCTTTATTCAGGAATAACGCGAACACGCTAGAGTTTTCTAGAACTGGAGTGAAGCCTGCTTGTTTTGTGGCACTAAACGTGGCCCAGCGTGGTTTAAGTTAGGTGGCAGTCGTTTTTGCCGAGTGCTGTGTGCGCGCGCAGAGACTCGGTGAACATCTCTACGTCTTATCTCTGGAAGAAGCAGACCCCTTGGCAAACGTAAGGGCCGACTTCCTGGAGAAAACGTAGCTGCGGGAAAAGAATGGGGTGGGGGAGCTCGAGGGCCCCCTCCACGCGAACGCAGTGGCGCACAGAACACGGAGCTCGCGTCCTGCTGAGGGGACAGACGACAGGAACGAGCGCTGTGTGTCAGGCTTGCTGCTGGCAGGTAGTGACGGGAAACTGAGGCAGGACGCAGGAAGAGAGCGCCGGGGGGGGCCTTCTGGGCAGGGGGCCGCGGAAGCAGCGTCTGGGCGGAGGGCGGAGGGAGCAGGGACCGGCCGTTCTGGGGCGGGCCATCCAGGCAGAGGGGACAGCAGCACCAAGGACCGGGGTGGAGCCGGTGTGAAGGG